AAATGATCCACTCATTATTTCAGAAGACATTAAATTTCACGTAACAACTATTTCATTATTTTATATAGTTTTACTGGTGATAAAACAAAATTTTTGGAAATATTATGAATATAAATATACAATACTCATTTTTAATATCATACTATCAAACTATTATTCAAAAAATTTCAATGTAAAAATAAAATKTTGGAAAAGTTATTCATTAATTAGCTAAGAGTTTATTTTCAGTTTTGACGAGTTGAGTAATGGACCAACATTTTAAGGAGCACCCGACACCACTCCACCTCGCTCACMAACAAAACAATAACGATAAAAAAAAGATTTTCAAAAATGTTAATCGGCTTTGAAAAATAAGTGTCTTACCTACTATACGTAATCACTCGGTAACTATATCAAAAAGTTTTTTATCAAGTCGAGAACGGACACAAACTCTGACCCGCGACCGTGGCCAGACGTTGACCCGACGACGAGGACGACGACTCGTAAGTCGAATAAATTTATAACTCCCCCCCCCCTCTCGGCCATATGCGGGCCCAAAGAATATTATAAGGTCGGTTAGTTTCCGGCACAGCAAACGTACATAATTAATGCGGCAACAATAATTAGGGGTATATTTTTCTTATAACTATATACTTACGGCTGAATTAGGTATGTATATAATTCATAATAATATATTAGGCTCATCGATATCCAACCGACCTACAGTTRTTGTACAACTAATAATTATTATACAATACATAATTAATATTTTTGTGTGCCTATATTTATTTGACTATAGGAAACAATASATTTTCGACGAGAAAACTTTAGCCAATATTTGTCGTTGACCACTAATCATATGGATAATAAAAAAAAAATGGACAGGCCATCAGACTCTATTATATCAGGTATTCCAAGGCTGATGAAAAATTGAAGAGATTTTTTTCCTTAAAGCAGTGAAAATATTATGTTTTCCTCGTCTATAGTAATTGAATGTGGTACAGCATTTGTATTTCATATACCTATATACTCAACTTCAAAGTATCAATACTGATGTAGTGATGTCTCATTAATTCCGAAATGGTTCATATTTTCTGACCCCAATAGTTATGCAGCCAAATTCTTTTCAAACGATTTCAAACGCAYCTCCCCGCAGTCACTTTACCCAGCCATTGTCCGAGTGGTTTAAAAAGCGACATCGTCGTCCACAGCACGCGTGTCAAGCGGCCATGCAAAAGTATGTGACTTATATTTTATTGATGTAATATTGTGATTCAAATTCAAAAACAAAATATTAAACAAACGCATCGACTGTGCAGATAATTTAACTACTAATATGTCGGCATAGTGYCGCGAAAAAACTGAATAGTTGCCTACCCGCAAAATATTAAACTTTCGTGCTCAACGAACTTGACGTATAGGTACAGCATGATATGTATGTAATGTTTACGACGTGCTTAATGCTATTCTTGTTGGGTTTTTTTCACCCCAATTTTACAGTAATGTACCTACACACACATTATGTCTACAGCCTTCGCGTYACAACGTCATAACGGAGGAAAATCGATGTATTTTAATATTTTAATAGCTTATTGGACGAATATATTACCTTACAGGCGAGTACATACATAGGCAGGCAAGTATGTATGTAGGCACGTGCCACGTGGTATATAACACGACCGTATATCATAAACCATTTTTGACCTACTCGAACGGGTCGATGACAAATATTTATTTATACACAGAGAGATATTGACTGGCCGTAATTCGGTATACGTCGGTCATRATATTATACTACCTCGAGATATTTATTTTTATTTTTATTTATTYTTCAAGTCCGGTTGGTGGGTGGTTGCGGGGTGGTGCATAAATATGTTATACTGTATATTACGTTGTGTGTGTAATGGGTCAAATTAATGCAATTATAAAATATGTTAATAATATAAATGTTTACGGTTATAATAAATACAAAAACGTCGATCGTGGTATACATATATTCCACGATAACATCGTTCTGTCGTTGAAATGGATTTCATTTTTTCAAATCATTTCGTGAATTTTTACAACTTTTTAATTTTCTATTTAATAGATCGTGCCGAATTAAGAAACGCGACCATTTCGAGCTTGTCACRGTCTAATGGGTTCGCTATACTTACGATAGCAGAAATCAAGAGCCCCTGTACGTATTTTTCCGAGTGGTGATATAAAGTACACAACGGCACGAACAGACCTTGACCGGAGTAAAAATTGTTTGGTTTATTAAACGAGTGCGTAAGTAAAATAAAATAATATTATAATGAAGAAATTTAACGATGTATAGTATATAATATGACATTTTATTATTACTGAAAACGTGCAAATTAATTGCAGCGTTATATTATTTGAACCGTGTTCACAATATTATACGAGTATGATATAACTATATTAGTCACGAAAGGAAATTCGTGCGGAATATATAGTTTCAAAGTGGGTAAACAATCATTATATACCTATGTGCAACTACTAATGAAATATAATTCTTGCGTGAAATGTTCGTTAAAACAATTTTAATACGTCTRGTCAAATGTATTGTTAATATTTATATAAATTGAAATTACAAGTACCTATAGTAGGTACACTGCAGTGCACCGTGAA